TCTTTTTTCTCTCTCCTCTACACCCCTCTCTGGACGCCCTCTTTGACGCAGTCGCAGCTTTGATATTTCTGCCAGAATATCCCACTTATAGTTAGTGCATAAGTCTCCGCTTCTCTCTACTCGTCTCCTCTCTGTCTCTCCCCACTTTTTGTTCCCCGTACCCTTTCTCACTCGCATCCCCTTTCTTCCTCGTGACTTTCTGCCTCGCGTGTTTCCACATTTTCCTTCCTCTTTCGCTTCACTCGTCTGTTCTAACACACACGCCAAGCATAACGTTTCTCCTCTTCGTTTCTCACCGACTGCTTTGTCCCGTCTCCGCAGGACGACGACGTTGAGAACGCTTTGAAACGTTCTTCCTCACCGTGGCGGTCGTATCTCGCGGGGAGAATAACTCGCGTCTAAGGTAAGTATCTTCTTGGCCGGACGTGGCGGCGAAACGTGGGTCAGGGATCGATGATTAGAGGATCTGTTCGCGGGAAAGAGCGTGTCGTTTACACGCTGACGCCGATCCTCGCGGGTTTCCACTAACTCCTTGCCACCACCACCACCACTCCATTCCGCCATTCTTGAATGCCGCGAGCCTCTCTCGAGGAACGTCGGTAATTGCGTCGATAAGAATCTCGCGTAACTCACGTGACTCGAATAACTTTGCTGCGTCGAAAGTTAATTTTCCTTTTTCTAACACACGCGATCACAACGCGCAACAGCGAGAGAAGAAGGGAGGGGAGTAGGGGGAAAAGGTGACGATGAAGCTGATTATGGGTGTACGGGTAGAGAAATGAGGAGAACAAAAATTTTCGACACGATACACCTCGGTTTTAACCGGTGAACGTCGATTGGGACACGTACCGGGCAAAAGGAGAGAAAGAAAGGGTGACGTATAAAATTGGACCGGGCAAACGGTCGACAGGAATTTCCAGGGGTCTCCCGAAACGATGGAGGTCCTCGATCGGAACACGCCCACTTTTTCACTGTTCCAATTAGGCGGGACCCTTGCGCACGTTTTATTTGGTAGTTGATTGGTGTCGAGCAGACAGTAGTGGGAATTAATGAAGACGGTTTAGGGGTGTAGGATATGCAGAAACAGTTATTGGCCAAACGGAATAATTTCGCCGAACGTTCGCGGATTTTACAGTCGTTTACAGCCCGTTCGAGCAATTAGTAGAGCCGACACGATCGAAAAGCGGGGCGACAACGGATCCACGATACGCGGTGGGATTATACGCTCGACAAGGAAATTACGAATTAGCCGGCGTGCGAATCAATGGGTTAGTGTGAAATAAAGGTCTCGGTGGAAGAAGATACGAGAATTACCTGGGTTGTGTGCTGATAAAAATGGGTACGCGACAACGGTTCACGTCTTATCGTCGATTAACGAAGTGAAATAAGAATACCAGCATTAGCACTCGGGAAAAGAATGTGAGGAGAAACAGCAACGATGACTCGATAGCGTTGGTCAGAAACGACTTGGTACAGGACGTTTTATCGAGTCTGTATCGAGTAGACGAAAAAACGTGTCTCTAAGTAAGCCCTCGATATTCACAGACGCACAGGTTTCAGGTTCGAAGGGGTCACTGGAGACCTCCCCATACATATTCATGCCGAGTATTTACCTAAGGCCAGAAAAGAACTGTTAAGAACCAAGGCAACGTATCGCATTAATACGAGAGGGTCCTCGGAGATCCTACGAATACGTAGGTATATGCAAATGACACCGTTCCCGCCGGGGAAACCTTTAAATCACACATCGAGGCTACCAATAACACGTCGACGATCGTAATACAAGACAGCCTTTATGCTCCGCTGTACCAGCAAGAGTAGCAAAACGCTCGTCCTCGAGTTAAAAGGATCGCATCCTAAGTACCGTAACATGCAATAACAGCCTTTCATCGGGCATAATTCGAGCCGGGATTAAAATAACAAATAGACGAGAGCATGTTGCACGTAATCACCATACATTGTTGCAGCCCGAGCGGCAACAAGTTTTTTTACGACAAGACTGAGTTTGTTACCACGTTACTCGCGGAACCACGTTACTCGAGGAACCACGTTACTCGAGGAACCACGTTCGACACACGTGTAGGATTCGTCGCAACAACACGTTATTGATATCGCGTGACGGTCTAAACGAGCGTACCGGAGAAAAGTCGAATCGAGCCTTCACGACGATTCCTCGCCAACGTCGTATCGAATCATTCGAATTTGCATACGATTATATTCATCTTGGGAGGAAAACGGGGGAAGAAAAATCCTGGTACGAACGGTCACATAAAAAATCTTTTACGGAATTACACAATCACCGACGTGGCGGCGGAGATACGTGAACGAACGACAGTCGCAGGATTTCGGAGAGAGATCTTGGTTATTTAAATTTCTCTCCAGCCCACTTCCCACCGTATTCCTCCTCTGTTATCTCCATCCGTTCCTCCGTAAGAGGTAACGCGAGAAAAGAGAGGGGGAACACAAAGCGAATATCTTTTTCCTTTTTTCGTTTCCTTCAAAACGAAAGCTCCGGGGGAATTTATACATCACAATTCACCGCGCATCGCGGCCATTAACGCGTCGACGACCGGGGAACATGACGGCCATGGTACATCAACCTCCGTGAGGAAACCGAGCTGCCTCGGTCCAAAGTACCAAAAGGAGCCACGCCGTGCTTTTATCGCGAGTAATTCGGGCCACGATCGTACGTATACGGTGTCTAATAAATTCGTGAATGGCCAGGCTGCGACTGAAATGTCCTATACACCCACGCGTAACGCACACGAGAGGCGGTCGTGAACACGGGGGCCCCTCTATCTCCCTCTCTCTCTTTCTCCACGCTCTTTCTATGGTCTCCCTTCATGGTTGTGTGCGCGCGCGCGTGCCTCTCTCCGGTCCCGAGGTTGTTGGCGTTGGTTTGCGCGCTTAGGGTGGGTACACCGAGCCGACGAACCGACATGGGGGCACCGAGAGAGAGCGGATATTATCGCCAAACGTTAATTTGGTCGAGGCCCGGCCTACCTTCCAATTTTCGAGCCCTTACACGCCCACTTACGAGATTGTCCGTTAATGCTCCGAAACGTCGGGACGCGTTTTCGACGCCCGCGTTTTACCGCCACGGAGAGAGCTTTACGGGCTCCACGTACACGGCCGACGGGTACATCTCGCAAGAGGCCTCTCTCTAGGGCCTCTTAGCTCTACATACGCGACGCTTACCTTACTAAAGTAACGTGCGCATACTTGCCATGGCAAATAGAGCTCGAACTAGAGCTAGCTAAGTGCTAGAGCTACGGATACTGCCTACATACCAGGTGTTAAATTTCTAGAAGTTACACGGGTATGTGTACGAGCTAGGCTTTTAAATACTAGATCTCCCAGGGCTCCTAGATACCGTCTCTCTAAGTATTCTAGACCGAGTAAAATTGCAAACACGAGACCTGCAATTAGTCGTCGTATATGTTGCAAAACACTGTGAATTTGAAAAAGCAAGGAACGAAATCGTTTCGAAGAAGATACACGATCGGTTATAAAAAGAATGTCAACAACAAGCTGCGTTTTTTTCCTTAACGTGGCGATATATCACGGAAAGGAAGAAACTGTCCAAATTCGGCATCGATAACATTTCCAGACTCGTGTTGTATGCACAACCGAGCGTTTCGATAACACCGTGTACCAGGCCACGTCTTGCACGCAGGCAAGGGCGCTTATTTGACAAGAGCATCGCGATAAAATTAAATCGTGCAAAAAGGAACTATGGCCACGGTCCTCCCGATTGGCCGCTAAGAAAACAGAGAGAAACCGTATATTTCAGTCCGCGTCTTAACATTCCCGCGCGAACGCGCGCATCACACAACGCCCGCGCCTAATTTATGTAACGTAGAACAAATATACTCTGGTGGCGGAGAGCGCGTACGCGCGCGTACGTAGAGCGTGGCCGGAGCAAGGAAAATAAATACGGGCGCGGAACAAGTGGAGCGTCCGCGTGAAGCAAGAAAATAGTTCGCGCGGCGATTCGTAGACCCCGAAATAGGGCGGTGTGAACAGCAGGAGACTTTACTGTACACCGTGCAACGCTCTGAAGTAGAAGAAGAGACGTGTGTATAGGCGTGTGTGAGCGCTGTTGGAAAGAACCGGTTATATAGGAACCGTCCTCCACCTTCTTCACCTTCCTCTTCTTCTTCTTCTTCTTCTTCTTCTTCTTCTGCCTGTTTCTTCTTCTTCTTCTCCTTCTTCTTCACCTTCCTTTCTACTCATTCGCCGACCTTTCGTTCCATCCTCGCCAAGTATCAAGCAAGCCCCGCTACATAATACAACCGAGCCTCTATATACAACTTCACCTGTGTGTATTTACGTGTGTGTATATACATACGCGTGCAGAGGGCCGTATGTACACTTACGTGGGGTCCCGACACCATGGGCGCCTGCCTATCTGACATTGGGTGCCTACGAGGGCGAGTCCGTTCTTCGTTTCTTTTTTTCCCTTTCCTGACCTGGCTACCGACGGACCCGAGGGAACCGTGTACTCTCCACTCCTGAGGACCCTCCGGGGGCGTTGGAATTTCGCGAACGTTTCACAGATACCCTGGTTTCCGAGACGACCGATACGCGGAAACTCCGGAATCTATTGTGTGTGCCTCCTCTCCTTTTCGTCCGCCGCGCCGACAGATATCCCGCTGTGAAAGAAACACGCTGAGTTAGAACGTGACTGTTTTAATGTATTTAATCGTGCCGATGATATCTGAGAATTAATTTTTTACGCGGTACGTTTTGAACGACGGGGCACAGTGATGAAGGCGTTGAAGATATAAATGATTCCAAACCCGTTCGCCTATTGTTACGAGTTCGTTTAATCTCCATCGCGAGGTTCTCGTATCTGAGCCGAATGTCTCGATCGATTTAGAATAAGTTTGCTCGATGTTTTAATTCTCGTGATGTTCACGTTGAATGTATTTATGAATGAATGGGAAGTTTCACATTGTTTCGGGGTTATTAACGATGATCTCATTTTACTGTTACAGATTTCGAATAGACAACACAGACCACATAATAGACGTGAACAAGAACAACGCGGCGTTCGAGTACGATCAAGTGAACATAATATGTCCTGTGTACCAGCCGGGAACGTATGACGAGGACTCGGAGAAGTATATTATTTACAACGTAAGTGTGTTGCACGAATGTTTCGTATCGAATCCTGTACCGCGATCAATCCCGCCCTCGTAACTATTTAGCTGAAAGATCCTCGTTATTTCCCCCCTTTCCACCGTAGTGGGATCAACAGATAAATCCAGTTACACACGACTGTCGACCCATTATGCGAAATAAAAAATTGTCAAAGGGCGTTCCGTGTTGTTTAGACAGCTGCTGCTACTCGAAACTCGTTCGTTAACTCGCTCGTATCGGACCCCCAAGAACGACACTTCCGCTTCGTAGCCAACTTTCTGACACCGTCGCGTTTCCCTCGAGAGGGGCTGGCCTTGTTTCACCCTGCTCTTAAAAATATTCGTGACGGAGTAACGTCGTCGGCATCATTCCCGAATTAGCGAAACTCGTTCGAGCCGCGAGTAACGATGTTTATTCACGGAACGAAGAACGCGGCAAATTTCATAAATCAAATTGTTCCCGAGGCGTCGCGAAGACCTCTTCTTCTCCCTTTCTAGCTTCTATCGGTGATTTCAGCGTGGTTCGATAAAAGAAGCAACGCAACCACTGCGAATCATTGGCGAGATATAATCATCGTCTCGATATCCTTCCCTCCTCGCATTGTCTCGATAGCGTTCGGACCAAACAATAGATGTTTTCCCTCCTTTTAACCGTGATCTTCTCGGGACGGAGAGAGAGGGAACGAACGAAAGTCACAGTCGAGAAAGAAAAGTCCCAGCTCTTTCCACGGTTATATCCTGTGGACAAAAAGAAAAATTGAGATGTAGTCTTTCACGGTAATCGTCCAACGATTAGTATCCTTTTTGTAAAGAGGCATTCTCTATGTAGAATCCGTGTAGAATCGGGGAGAAAACGTTGTAGAGAACAGAAGAGAGTTATACGTGACAAACGATGTGTACCGTTGCCAATCAATTCGCGCCAGAGATTTACAGCCACTGTGTGTTTCACAGGTGTCCAAGGAGGAGTACGAAACATGTCGGATAACGAATGCGAATCCACGAGTGATAGCGGTTTGTGACAAACCGTACAGGACCATGTACTTCACGATCACCTTCAGGCCGTTCACACCGCAACCTGGAGGCCTAGAGTTCCTGCCAGGCCACGATTACTACTTCATCAGCACCTCGTCCAAGGACGACCTCCACAAACGCATTGGTGGACGGTGCACCAGTAACAACATGAAGGTGGTCTTCAAGGTGTGCTGCGGCAACGAGGCTGATACCTCGTCGTCATCAGCGACATCGCGTAACAACTGTAAGTATTCGTTGCTTCTCAACAGATATCATTATCTCGAGATAAATATCAATTTCTTGTCAGTCGCATCTTTCGCATTCGTCGTTTCGCTGTTCTTATTATTATTTATTTATCAACGAGGATTTCGGCTGAAAGCCGTGCCTGTATGGAAAAAGTATTAATCAGGATTCGTGAAACACACTGATACTGCTGTATGTTTTGTTAAATTATTCTTATAATTTTTTTTACACTTTCTACACCCGTCCTTCTAAATTCCACGGCTAAGACCAATCCTTAAATCGTCGCGACGGACAAAGACTAATGTCCTACCGCTAGAAGTGATTTCGCGTACGAATTCATATTCTAATGGGTTCCCGATTATCATAATCTGAAATTATAGACGTTGTCTACGCCGCCTTTTCATTCCGCGTGTAAATCACGTTTAAATCCTTCACGGTTTCGCGTCAGTGCCTGCGCGCAGATCTCTCGAATATCCGGAGGACACGAACGCGCGGGTATGAAACGAATCGTTGAAGGAGCGCGAGTCGTAAATTCATTATCCCCTAATTAGTTACAAAGAGGAAGAGAAGTCTGTTAACAACAGACGGTCTACATCGATTCCTTTTGTCGTCCTCACCCTTTTCAACATCCTCGATATTCGTCCATCCTCGAACCTCTTTCTTCGGCTCCTTTCTGTGTTTCTCATAGCGACGATCAGTCGTGTTGCTCCTCCCCTCTTAAATAATCCCTATCAATTATAATTCTTACTCGTGCACCATTTGTTGCGGTTAGGGGACCAACGCTGTCCCAGAGCACAATAAATTCCACTATTTCATTCTAGCCCGGTTCTCTCCTCTCTCTCCCTAATTCGTTCCAACCATCCTCCCGACACCTCCTCCACCTCCTTTTCTGCCCGCTGCCACCGGCCCAACACTCTCTCGCCAGAGACGATTCATGCGCCGTAATGACTAGCTATTTCGCTGCCCGAGAACTCTGAACCCTCTCCTCTTTCTCTCTCTCTCCCTCTCTGTTTCGTTCTTTCTTCACTCGGCGTCAGGCATTCAAGATTCCACGAGACTCTGCCGGCCTCGAAATCCTTTCCGCGGCTTTCTACTGTTGTGTACCGCGCGCGGGACTGGAGCGAGCACGCTCCTGTATCCACCAGGCCGCTACTCTCTACGATTACTATCAGCGGCCACGAACCGCGAGAAATGTTAATCTCGCGGAAAATTTCAGACCGGGCAGCGTCTTGCGACCACGGCGAGAGACGTTTACGCTGGCAATTAGCCGGCGAAAATGCGAAATTAATCTTCGACTTTATTTCAACCGGCGGAGGTTCATTCTCCTCGAAGGTTTCGAGGTCGTGAATTTCGACTCTTCGAGCAACGAATGTTTCTCATTCCTCGCGGTGTTTCTCTCGGCGTGTTCTCTCCGCTCTTCTTATTTTATCGTTAAAACTTGACCACTTCGGAGAGGTAGTGAATTTTGAGTTAAGATGTAGGATAGATCGATTCTCGGATTTTTCGATCGATGATCGTCGTAAATTCGGACGTCAAGCAGCGAACCAAGAAATCCGCGCGTTCTCATCGTTTTTTTCGCCACGCGAACACAATCCGCCCGTATCAATTTTTTACGAGGCCGCATTTACGGTTATAACTGTAACGGGTTAGTACTACGCGCGGTTCTATTATTACATACGGCCGTCGTAGCCGAACGATCGGCCGAGCGATTAAATAAAATTTAATGGTCGCGCTATCGTAGCCGCGTTTCTGTA